CACTAAAAGGATCTAAAAGGCTAAGGAACCAAATGAATGGCTGGGAGCCACCAAGCTTTGGTACTTTTTGTGAGCCACCGCCATATAGGCATCCCCGACAATCCACCACGCCCTCGCCTCAGCGCCTCATCGCTGCCGGCTTCGGCCACTTTGGCCCACGCAAAGTCGCGGCCCAGCTGCTGCCACGAGGGCCCGGCTATTCCTTTGGTTTGCTAAAAGCAAGCAACTTCTAGTGGGATATGTGAAACATCCAACTCTAAACTCCACAAATATGTCGTGTAAAAAAAAAAAAAAAAACTCCGAAAACCCACTCTTAACTTATAACTTAAACTCAAAGTTAATACATCTCACCGAAGCGTATGGCTTCGAACCGCCCAGAGTCGCAGCACCTTTGGCACCGCCGCCTTTGAAGCCTTCGAACAAGGCGACAAAGCCTCGGGCTCCTGCGAAAGGTTCCGAGTCAAGATCAAAACCGACCGGTAGAAACATGTTGGATTGGTGGTTTGGATCGGTGGTTTGGATTGGTGGTTTCCCATTTCGGCAAGAACCAGGGCTGCAAAGCCCAAACCAATCCGAAGCACCTGAGGGTAACCTGAGTCACAATCAAAACCAATTGGTACAAGCATGGTGAGCCCAAAACCACGCGTCAAGAGTTACGAAGGCGGATATCCGCACCTCTTTATGGTTGGGAGTGTCCCTTACTAAATTTCATCTACGCCTCAAGGGTACGCCAGGTAAGTGCTTCGCGAAGATGGGCCGTCCGTTTTCTGATCCCTTGCCAAAAGCGACGGAACATCGGAAACCCAAGCACTAAACCAGCCAAAAAATATGTTGTTCTTTTTACAAAAAACAACTCAGGAACTGGATGGCTGGGAACCACCAAGGAAGATTGTACCCACCAAGCCTTATATGCTCAAAAGCTGCCCTTTGCAAGGATGAACCTCTTCTTGAGGTTGTACAGAAATATTAAAAAATGGGCCGCTCTGTTGCCTCCCACAAATCAAAAATGGGCCGCTCTGTTGCGTCCCATTGGACCCCGCGAATTTCCGCGTTGCCGGCGCCGTCCCCTCCACCCCCCCGACTTCGCAAACTCGCCTCCCCCAGGGCGCGGCAGAAGCAAACGGCCGACAGGCGGGACTTCTCGGCGCCCAGTAGATGGAAGAGCCTCGCCAGGTCCTGAGATTTAAAAAAAAACACCCCGCTGGACGAAACAAACATGGTTCGAGGCTGGGGAGACGTCCAAAAACCAAACCAACCCATGGCCGGACGAAACCCCATGGCTTTGAGGCTGGTTTGGGGAGAGACTTCCCCCCCCCCCAAAAAAAAAAGAGAGAAGAGAAACGCAGGCGGGTTGCAATTTTCAGCTTCCTGCCCGAGCCCGAGCCCCGTGGTTCGGAGCCCCGTGGTTTGAAGGGTGCGGATTTGACCAACCCAAACCGCCAGTTGGCAACCTGAGATATGGTTGCCAAGAGCTGGTCTGGTAGCAGAAAACTCACTTCCGAACTCACCCAAAAAAGTACCCCGACGTCTCATCTGCCAAAATAGCTCTAAGTGAATTGAAGTCCGGAGTCGGATTAAAAATAGCCATCTAAAACTGCGCTGTTGGAGACGCCCGACACACCTGAGCACGTTCAACGCCCAACAAGGGAAATGGCCCATGCGGATCCAAAGCCTTAAACAAAACACTCTGAGACTGTTCAACAAGAGATTGTGGGGATCGAAATCCTTTAAAAAACAGACCCACCCTGAACATGTTCAACTCAAATCCAACTCCTAAAAACCCGAACCCCGCCCCGAAAAAGTTCAACGAAAACGCCGTCCACAGCGAAATCGATCGAACAGCCCTGCTCGCGCCTGCTCGTGGGGGGGTCCAAATCCTACAACAAGAGAAGGACCCAGCCTGAAACTGTTCAACAAAATGGGGGCATCCAAATCCCAAACCAAAAAGCCACACCCGATGTTCTTCGCCCCGAAAAAATGTTCAACGAATCCCACTCTTTGAGAAAAAAAAGAAAGATAAAGATCCTCCGTCGAGAAAAACAAGAAAAGAAAAACAACATTTAATGTATATATATATATAAACACGATGTTCTTCGCCCCGAAAGAATGTTCAACGAGAAATCCACGTCCGTCCTGGAAGTCCAGGTTGGGCTCCAGCGCCCAGGCCAGCCTCGAGAACTCCTTGGGTCCCAAGCTGCCCTGCCGCGACACGTCCAAGCACTGGAAGAGGTGGATGGGCGCCACCTGGAGAAACCGAGGGCAAGGCTTCTCGAAGCCGGGCTCGAAGCACCGAGGCGCCAGGAGTCTCGGAGTCTTTTTTTTCGGGGAATGTATTCTAGAAAGACAGATTGTGGGAAGAATTCCCAATAAAATACTGCTTGAAATGTCTATAAAATACTGCATTTCTTATCCTTTCTATCATTTCAGTATTCTTTGCAGTGAATTGTTTAATACGTCTCTCCGTCCTTTAGTTTTACCATGGAAACTATTCTTTGCAGTGCTTATATTGGAAGCTAATAGTGCAGTCTCTCACATTCTCACCCATCATTTGGGTAACATGGAATATGATTAGGATGGGATTCATTCGGCAGCCTGGACAAAGATATTTAGAAATGAACTAGGAAGAGATAGCATATGACGACATCACATATTAAGAGTTGGGATTGTAATCAAAAAAGACGTAATAACACAATCTCAATGAGGATAGGAATGCATTAACATGTGTTGCCATCATCTTTGCTAATGTTCAAATTTAATCACGGTATATCGAAATAATCATTTTCACAGCTGGAGATGGATCTGGAAAAGACGTCAACAACAAAATACTGGAGCTTCCTGTTCATTATCCTCTCCAGCCTCTTTTCACCCGTTAATACTTGCTGGACTTCTTGATAAGACATAGAGATGTGTTCCTTGAAAGTAGAATAAGATTGATAATTCAAACGGAAATAATAGACTCTGGGTACTTCTCCAGTCAGCGGTTGACCCATCCATAAGTCTTCTTTACATTATGTCGCTTTCGTTATCTTATGTCTGTTTCATGAACAAGTGTCAAGCTTAGAAATGACTGGAGGTCCAAATGAATAGGACAATATTGAAATGTAAAGACAGCTTGCAAACCCCAGAGTCGTCAAGCGGAAAAAGACTGGGCTCGAAAGTTGGCGTCCTTTGGGCTTCACATGGATCTAGGGCCCCAAAAGCCCAACAAACCTTGTCAAAAACCGGCAAGTCTGCAGCCCAAAACCGCCCGCGGCGTCTGCGGCGCCCGGGTCCCGCCGTCCCGCCCCCGCCCCGTGGCGCTTGACGGCCCCGCGGAGGCGCGTGAGAACTTGCTCGGCCTGCAGGACGCCGCTTGTGGTTGGAATGAGCAACCAAAAAAGCAGCTCCCCGCCCCAGAAGCTTCCTCTACAAATCCTTTTCGCGCAAAAAACAAAAAAACCTCCTCTGGAGGAACCCTCTACAAACCCAAAAAGGGGCTCTCTCTTTTTTCCAGGATTGCAAAGCCAAAAAGGGTCTTATGTTTTTTTCCAGGATTGTTCCAAAAACGGGGCTGGTTTTCAGGAGGAACCCTCTACAAAGCCAACAAGGGTCTTATGTTTTTTTCCAGGATTGTTCCAAAAACGGGGCTGCCCCCCAGGAGGAACCCTCTACAAAGCCAAAAAGGGCCTTATGTTTTTTTTCTAGGGCTTCCTCTAAAATGGAAAAGCCAAACTTTGGAAGTGTTTGAACCCATCTCCTTTCACCCAAAGGTTGATCCACCCCGGTTGCTCCCGTAAGTTGGCAGCTAGTTGCTGGCCGGTGCGATGGCTCATGAACCGGAAGGGCTCTTCTTCGGGGTCATTTTTTGTTTACTCTCATTCCCCGAGAACCAGCAAGAAAAAGGGGGGCTTTCCCAAACACCTCCTCACCTCAGTTGTTCAGTGACCCTGGGAAAAAAAGAATTGGAACCCTTTTTTGGGCTTGGACCATTTTAGTGGGGCAGCCACCAAAAAAAAAGGGAAAACGAATTGGAGCCACTCAACAACTGCGTCACCAAATAGGCCGTTTTATGGAGTCCTCCCCTTGTTGTCTGGTAGCAAATGCCCTCGTGAACCAGGGAGAAGCTCCTCCAGAAGTCTCAGAGATTCTCTGCCCCGAAGGGCCCAGAAACAAAAGGTTAACCTTTTGGGGTGAATAAAAATGAGCCAAAGAGGGGAAACCCAAAGGTCAAAAGCTCGATTTGGGGGTCATGATATAAAAAAAAAACGGCCAACCAGCAGAAACCAACAGGTCAAAAGGTCGATTCACCTCGGGCAAGCGGGTGTCCTTTTTGTTGCGCCTCGGGCCCTTTTTTTTGGTGGGTTTTGAAGGAAAACCAAAAGGACAAAACAAAATTCATGTTGGGCGTGCCCTAAAACAAAACACTCGTTTTGAAGGAGCAAACTGTTTGGAATGATCTAAGGGCCCGCTTACCCTGGGCCTACCACACGCCTGAAAAAGGGATGCCTCTTCTTTTTTTTGGGGGAGGGGGGGGGGGTGTATGCCCCATGTAAAACCGCTAATTTTGGTGCATGTCCGTTTGGGGGCCTCAGAAACCCACGGAAAACCGCACCACTGTTTTTGGGGGGATCGCTCATAACGACACACTTCTTGTGTGCCTTGTAATTCTTGCTTCTGCTTGTCTTTCAGAAAGGGGAACCCTGGAACCGCCCAAAAATGAATACTACTCTATTGGTTCTCTTTCTTAACAAACCCCAAAACGGGTATCTTCAAAAGCACATACCTACGTTATTGTGAGTTCGAAATATCGGCTGTAGGCCCCTCCCATGGATTGATTTCGTTCGCAGATGCGGGTTGGAAGCATCGTCTATGGCCTGCAGACAAAATGCGACATGCATCGGCCCAGCCTCCTCTGGTTGAGCGCCAGACGCCGGTGGCAGCGGTGGCACCGGTGGCACTGGCGCCAAAGGCGGCGCCGACGGCGCCGGGGGCGCCAAAGGCGGGGCGCGCGGCGGCGGCGCTCTAAGGCGGGGATGGCGCGGGGCGCTGCGCCGGCGCAGGCGGCGCCGCGGGCGCGGCGGGCGCGGGCGGCAGGGGCGCGCCAGGCCGTACTGCCGGGGCAGCGGGGGCCACTGGCGGTGGCTTCAATGGGGCAGCCGGAATGGCGGGTCGCATGGGTCTCTGGGCGGTGCTTGGGCTGCACTGTGCTTGTCTATGCTCGAAAAGCAGTTGCGTGACCTTTACCCCCGAATGTGGCCGAGAAATACATCAACCTGAATGGCCGACAATAGGCATTACGCAGTCAAGCGGCCGCGGTTCTTAGGTTAAGGACATTCCTGCTGCTGCGCATTCGCCGAACCGCTGCAACTGACCTCTTGGCTGCGCTGCAGTCAGCGACAAGCAGATCAAGCATCACAGTGAGCCATGAACACTGAAGACTTGCCACGCCAAACCTTCTTGAGGTCTGATTGGAGGCAACGGGCTGATTGTTTGCATGTGGCCTTGATTTGGCCCCGAGTAGCATTTTCCAATGGCTTCCCGGTGTTTTTGAGGGTATCCCTGTTCAGGTTAGTTCAAAGATCTACGCGAAAATCTCCCGTTTTGACCCACACACCCAACTGAATATCCACAATACTTCGGCCAGAGCAGAGGCTCCCCAATGTTATGACGACATGATGACCTTAAGACAGGTGAGGTCGATCGGCGACCAATTCCAACAGGCTGCTGACAAACTTCTAGAAACTCTCAAACTCTCAGGGCCTAAAAAAAAGATTAGAGTTCGGTGCGAAGGTTCTTACTCAGCCTGTCAAACCTTGCCAAAAGAACATGAGAACCCCCGTTTTAGGCGTGTTCTCAAAAAAAAGAAAACTGAACTTCCTGGAACCCTCCCAGAGTGGTTTTGGGCAGAGAACCCAAGCTTTCAGCTGTTGGGGACGAGAAATCATGTCAACTTCAGATTGATCCGGAGGACCTTACTATTCCTCGCTGGTTCCCTTTCAGTGAGGAAATGATCTATTTTGTTTTTTGTCTGATTTAGGGGCTTTTAGTAGGGCTTTTCTCGGTTGCGTTCTGCTTCCCTTTTAGTGGTTTAATACGGAAAACCCACTAGTTGGCAAAAAGTTCAAGTCCCAACATCCGTCGGCAACATGCACCTCTATTTTCTGCTCTAGGGTGTTTCTTTCTGCTTCGGGTTTTTCAGGATGACCTCCCCCCCAGTCGCAGGGCACCGAGACCAAAGCGCTGTTCGGGGCCCCCGGCGTCCAGCTGGCCGAAGTGGCTCTGGAAGGGCTCCAGGACTTTCAGCGCGGCGTCCTCAGCTGGCGATTTGAAGAGAACCGAAAGGGGAACATGGACAGAAATGAAGGGAAATAGGGTGAGATGAAGGGAAGTAAATGGAAATATGAACATATGAAAATATGGAAACAAAAGGGGAACTAAGCAATTTGAAGAGAAACAAATGAAGGGAGATAGGCTGAGATGAAGGGAAGTAAATGGAAAATGAAGGGAAAACAGACACGAAGGGAAATATAGTGAGTTGAAGGGAAGTCAAGGAATGCAGAGAAATAAAGGGAAGCAAACGCAAATGAAGAGAAATAAGGTGACATGAAGGGAGCGATCCAGAGGTAACAAGTGGTCAGCTACGCGATCCATGTGCAGCGATTGAATGCGTTGTTGCCTTTGTTGAGAATAGAAGCCATATCAACGAGTTTGCAGGGAAGCCAAGAACAAGGCACCTCCTACCTGCCACCTACATCTGCAAGGGCCACATCTTGGTTTGCAGACCTGCCAACTATAAGATTACATTTTGGACGCACCTGTCAGCAAGGCACCTCACACATCACCAACTTACAATCTCATGGAATTTACCCCATCTCGGCTGCCGCGAAAGCGTGCGCAGGATCCTGACCTCCGTGCCACCTCCACTGGCCCATGTCAAGCTTTCCAGGGAATCTGCGATTCCTTCGGTTGTGACATGTCAACTGTTGATCCACTGCTGCCACCATGGCCCTAGACAGAGGGGCCCCTTTGTCCGCTCGACACCGAGCCACGGTTGCGACCGCGCCGTTGGGCGCGTGGACATTCGATCTCAGCGCAAAGGTGCGCTTCGGCTGCTGCGAGCCTCCTTGACCCCCGGTCATTGCATTGGTAGCGGAGCACGGTTACACGATCCGGGAGTCCGAGGAACACCCGCACTTCGCCTTCGGCTCGTGCCCCGACCTTGAGGGTGGCAACCTGGTTTAGACTGAGGTGTAGATCTCCGTCGGGTACCGACGTTGAGGACCACCCTGGTCACACTGGACACCTCAAGGACCTCCTGCGTCACAACATCAAGATCTCCCCACACCTGAACTCCCTCTACGGCAACCTCCTGGAACACATCAACTACCAGGCCACGAGAACACCAACTACGGCAACCTCCAGCTCAACCTCAACATCAACACGATGTCAGACAAGGAAGGCCACATCCCACAATGGGATGGATCTGCACGGACATGGAGACGGTACACCCGTGAAGTCGCCTGGTGGGTGATGAGCGTCCCCTTGGACAAGCGGCGCTACTGCGCGACCAAATTGGTGAGTCGATTGACGGGCCCAGCACGGCTCCTCGCCATGTCTTGGCCTCTACAACTGTTTGACTCACCAGATGGTACGCGAGATCTTCTCAGACGTCTGGCCGGCTCTCCTCTGGTCAGACAGAGCCTTCCCAACACGGCAGCCATCTGCGCCCAGTACTTCGCCTTCAAGCGGCTGCCCCAGGAGAGCATGAGTGCCTTCCTCATCCGCGAGACCCTCGGCTACGCGGAGTTCACCGAAGCCCTGGTTCGTCTGTTCGAGGAACGCAAGGGCATCAAGCAGGAGGACAAGGACTTCGGCATCCCCAGTGGTTCACCTGAGCCCTTTCTCCAAGAAGATGATCAAGATCAAGATGAGCATGAATCCGTTCCCGACGAAGCTACCACTCCACCAAGAACAAGGGCAACGGACGCCTCTCAGGATGGCAGCTCCCCTGATGCTGCACCTGGTGCTTCCCCTGGCAGATCTTCCAGACCTGGCAGCAAAGGCAAGGGCAAGGACATCCCTCATGCGCAACCTCAACTGGACATCACTCAGGTGGATGTCATTGACGAGATGTCCCTTGCCGACTCCTTCATCATGGGCGTCCTGCGTGGCTGGCGTCTTCTACAGGCTGCCAGCTTGACCAGTGAAGAAAAACGTGATATCCTCAGCACCACCCAAAACAGCATGAACTACGACTCCATCAGTCGAGCGCTGCAAATGCTGTGGGACGATCAACTTCTTGGACAACGCCAACCTCACGCTGTACAGCATCATCTACATGTTCAAGAACAAGAACCTGGCCCTCGACCTGATCCATGGCACGATCACTATGCCAGTGTCCAGTGGTGGGATCAGGATTGGCACCAACACTGGACTGCCGAAGACCAGACTTCCTGGGACTGGGACAACGACTCCGAGTCGAAGGACACCAGTCCTGCCTCTCCCCATCTCGACCCGGCTGAGGAGTCAAAGCTCAAGGAAGCACATCAAGCTGAACAGCTTGCCGAACAAATGGCCCAAGAAGCAAGTCGTACCTGGGCTGAAGCCAAACGAGCCACGGCCGCCATACACCGTGACAGAGGCTTCGGCAAGGGCAACTCCGGGAAATGCTACAACTGTGGCGGCGCTCACTTCATCCGCCAATGTCCCGACCTTCGGCATGCACCACATCCCAAGGGATCCTCTGGCAAGAAGGGCAACTCTCAGTTCATGGTTGACCCTTACTACGACGACTTCTACCAGCACAAAGGCTCCAAGAAGGGCAAGTCCAAGGGCAAGAACACCTACTCCATGGACTATGATTACGACGCCATGTACTTCAAGGGCAAATCCAAGCACTCTGGATCTGGTAAGGGCTATGGCGCGACCCCTTCGCGAAGTTTTGTCAACTCCTACACGGCCGAGTTCTGCGGCCTGGACATGGACCTCCACGGTGGTGAATGTATGCCTGCCACCACGCCATCCACCAGCGGTGATTTTGAAGGCATGGTGGACTGTGGGGCCACAGCATCTGCTGGCCCAGAAGAGGCTGTCAAGGGCCTCATACAGTCCATTGTGGCACAGGACCACTGCACCGTTGTGGAGATTGATCAATCCGCTCGCCCGTATTTCCGCTACGGGAATGGGAAGTGGGGTCAGGCTCTTTATCAGGTCACCCTCCGGAGTGATGTATCAGGTACGCCCAAACAGTTCAAGGTCTATGCCCTGCCCAATCCACCAGAGCTACATCAACCTGGTTTTGACAGATCTATGCTGGTTCCTATCCTGGTTGGTATGGATCATCTGGGACCTCACGGGGCTGGTATGATGATTGATTTCTCCACCGGCATGACCCTCAACAGTTTGGAGAGTGACCCCAAGCCATATCCTTTGCGCCACAACCACAAGGGTCACTATGTGTTGGACATCAGACAGTTTCTCACCAACGGTCTCAGCAATGGTAAGGGCCACCCCAGGATCCATGTTCGTGGTGCCGGGCAACGCCGTATCCATGATTGTCAGGTTTTGGAATTCCACACGCTCCGTGTTCAACTGGATTCCCCAGAACATGACTGCCTGCACGTTGAACATGCACCACCTGACACCCGGACAGTTGCACTGATGATGCGGCTCCGTAGCGCATCTGCTCAGATGTTAGCTAACCAGGTTACCAGTGACACCCCAGTCTTTGGTGCCACCTCCGAGTCCCATGGCCTACACGACCCCGGTTCCGACCGCGGACGATCTGGAGACCACGGACCTGCTGTCAAAGATCAAGGAGGCGGTCCCAAAGAAGAAGGGTGTCAAGGAATTCGACGAGACCCGCAGTGTGTTCCTGGATCCTCGGGACCCTCGAAGTCATCCGGACCAGTGGCCATGCTTCGCTCGACATCTGCCGGGCAGCTACGGAAGCAATGCTCATGGCAAGTGGAACCATTGCCAAATATGCAATCTGAGGCTGTCCTACATCCCTCGCAAGGGC